TCTCTAGTGACTGCAAGTATCGGTGATAGAAAGTTATGTTTTAGTATGCCAATCTGTCATGTACCAACCTGTGTTCCTTACACTTGAAACTCCTCATAGCTTTCCAGTGCTTTTACAATAAGGACCCCAGCCCTAAAGGTTCCACCCATTTGGTCTGGCCTCCGATTCAGCTTCTGCCTCTTCCCTCCCCTCTCCCTGTTCTGAATTCTATCTATGCTGCAGCCATGCTGGCTTACACTTTCCTCAAATAAACCATTACACCGACTACTGTGGACCCCTGCATGCACTCTGCCTGAGAGCCCAGCCTTGTCCCAGCCTTGCTTGGCTTGGCAGCTGTTCTAGGCTTAGGTATTAGTTCTAAACAGAAAGCCTTTACCAACTCCATACCAGGTCTAGAACAGGACCCTCAGCCATGTGACTTTACAGAATTTCACTCCTCTGCCACAGCATTTATCACATAGTCTTGTCTAGAATTATACTCCCTTGGAGTTAGGTATTCTGGCACAAGCCTTTAATCCCAGCAGTCAAGATGCTGAGGCAGGAAGACAAGAGTTCAAGAACAATCTTGGCTGCATAATGAGACCCCCCCCTTGGGGGGCACGGGAAGTGGTGCATGCCTCGAATCCTAGCATCCAGGAGAAGCAAGAAAATCCAGAGTCATCTTCAGCAACACGGTGAGTTTGAGGCCAGATTGGACTACATGGAACCCTGTCTCTAAAATTAATTAATTGTTTCTATTAATTAGTAATATTAACAATGAGAGTTAAACTGAGGTTGAACGAAGGCTATACATAATGACAGCTTTCAAAGTGACTCCTCAATTACTGACGGGGGGGCGGGGGAAGCAGGCAACGGAAAGACAACAAAGCACAGAAGTCACAGCAGATCGCTGAGTCTTAGTAAAGATCAAAGCACCTAAGAACTTATATTACATAACATTATTCACTTCATAATCAGGGAAACATGCCATGGGACGAGCTGGAGACTATTTCTCAGTTTGATTTTATTCTCTGGAGACCTAATGTTAGCTAGATAAAATTCATTTTAGTGATACTATTTAACCTCTGAGGGAAAAAGTATCTGCTTTTTAATGGAAAAATTGTTCCTCATTGTGAAGGCAGCACATTGTATTCTTGGCTTCTTTGGTCTCCGGTGTGTATCTTTCTGTACCTCCACCATATCTTGAATCTCCTGTGTCAATAAAGAAAGCCAGACTGATAGCTAAATTTTTTGAAATTAATAAGTAGAAAGTACCAGCCCACCCAGAAGAGATCCAGGCAGGTCACACTGTGTAAATGCATCTGCCTCTCAAGAAATCTCAAGAGGCTTAGGAATCAGCAGATGAGGGCCTCACAGAATCAATCTCAAAGTCAGAATAACTCAAGCAAAAACTCAAGTTTTAAAAGTTTCTGAGGCACTTAAAAGTTCAGTTTTAGGCCATTAGGACATCTCAGGACAAATGCATTTGTCACTGGATCTGAAAAGCTGTGTTCCATTTCTGAGACTCACATACTGGAAGGAAAGAACCATGTCTGGCAAGATGTCTTTTGGCTTCAATATATATGCTATGGAACAGGTCCACTTCAACATATACACCCAGATAGATAGATAGATAGATAGATAGATAGATAGATAGATAGATAGATAGATAGAAAGAATTATAAGAATTTTGAAAGTGCAGTTCTCAGAAAGCATCAGCATCAACATATTTCTACTTGGCACAGATCTGAGCTATGAGAGGAAAATGATGGGGACCCTGTACCTTTACCATACTGTGATGAAACTTAAAGAGTATGGCATGCCTCAAAACCATAGAGATCCATGTCCATGGGTTCACATAACCCATAGTAACAACACTAAGCAGAAGCTGCCATAAGCCAAGAACTTTACAAGCACTTTCTCATGAAACCTTAACAGTCTCGGGCTCTTTTGAGAGGGTTAGTTAAGATACCTAAAGTCCCGGTTCAAAGGTAGTTTCTCTATCTGATTCCAAAACCCATGTTCATGTTCACTGAACCAGTGAGACTCGCAGAGGTCAGGGAGAGGGAACACTTGGCCTTGACAAGGAAATAGCAACATGGGATTATAAGTCAGTGAAGGAATAAGGTGTTGCTGGTGATAAGAGGGTCACAGACAGGAGACAGAGGGAAAGTAGGAAAGAGAACAGGGAAAGACACCTGGTTAGAGACACCATGAGGGGTACAAATGAGGGTAGCCCTCAGACAGGTGATAGTCTCATGACCACTCTTCCCTGCATGGGAAGGCTGAGGAAGTGTCTCACAGAAAGAAGCCAGCCTTCTCTTTACCCTTCTTCCACCTCTCTCTTTGCTCCAGTGTCCAGGTGCTCCACCCACTCTTCCTACTAGGTGGCCATGACACAAGCCTTTAGAGTCCCAGATGGATGCCAGGAGGGGCAGCTTCCTGGCTCAGGAGATTCCAGGGAATCCTCATCTCCATTCTGTCTCCAGCAGTGGTCCTGACTTCAAAGAAGAAGTACATTTCAGGCTAACACTACACTTTCCAACACTGGAAACCAGCCTCGCAAGGAAGGTGAAGCACCAGCTCCATGGCGTATGAACATGGTAAGCTCATGGTAAGCGCCATTAGCACCACACATACCTGTTCTTAGAAAGGTCACTCACAACTTTTCACTCACTCATCCAGCCACTCGCCAGAAAGATAATTATCAAATACCCATTCTGACTAATTTACCTGTTGGGACAACAAGGACCAACAAATCTGTCCCTTGACCTCTGGAATCTTATGTTGTGTTCCTAATGACAGGTTGTCTATCACAGCTGTAATGAATGATAGGATAAAGAAAAGCTGGGGAGGATAATGATGCTTCCTCTGTGTGTACTGATTATCCCGCTCACTCCTGTATCTTCAATGCTCACCACAGAGGCCGACATATAGGAAGAGCTCAGTTAAGGGTTACTGAATTAAGTAGAGAGCCCATGGGTGCTAAGCCCCAACTCTGTCTCTCTGTGCTTTCTCTCTGAGTCCAATCCTTGCATGGATTAGAGAGGATGGATATACAACAATTCTTCCAACAGGATCTAATACTGTTGAGATGAGAGGAATTGGAAAGAGTTATTGATACTGCTGTCATCCCCTCCAGGTATCACATTTGGACCCTTCCTGCTTTCTAAATTACATCTCTTGTAGCTGCTCTTCTAAAAATACTCAAGTTGGTTGGCGTTTCTACGGAAACCCAAAGATCTGAACCTGCACTCAGGACTGTGGTTAAGATGGAGCCTCAGTCGTCTTGTGCTTCTCCAAAGGCTTTGCCATAGCTCACCCTGAAAAATACGTCTGATCCAAACAAACCCCATCTTCTCTCTTTCGGTGGGGAGGCTATCAGCATGAACTAGATGGAGGAAGATACGAAGCTCCACGGTTCCCTTGTCCTCGGCCCCACCCCTCTCATGATCTAGTCTTTCCCCAGGACTGCCTCAAACAGCTGTGGCTCCCAGACTAGAAGAGCTAAAGGCTCCTTCACCTTGACTACTGCAGGTGAGCTGGCTGCAGAGAGCCACTGTCTCTTTGGGCTATCTGACTGTGGCAGCAGCATTATTGGCCTCTACTTGAATCCTCTCATCTGACCAGGACGGCCTGAAAGTCCTGGATTTCTAGGGAAGTAGTGCTATTCTGAGAGAAGCTGACAAAGAATGAAGAGGTCTTCTCAAGAGGCTCTGAGGTGACTCAATTCAAGAGATGGTGGTTGTGGGAGAGGGTTTTGAGACAGGGGTCTCACTATCACTGAGTTATCCAGTCTGGCCTCAAAGTTAGGATGCTGCTGCTTTAGCCTCCAGAGTGCTGAACACTGACTCTTGAGGCAGAGCAGGCACCTGAACTTAGAGGAAAGTGAGGCTGTTGGTTGTGAAAATGAAACGGTCAATGTAACCTAAAGAAGTTTCCAGTCCTGAGCAGTCTCTGCAGCCCCTCAGCTGAAAAGAACTTCAATATGTTTCCAGAAATGTGCTTAGAATATCTCAGGTAGGGACTGGAGGGCTGGGTCAGTGGTTAAAAGCATTGGCTGCTCTTCCAAAGTACCTAGGTTCAATTCCCATCATCTACATGGAGGCTGAGAACTCCTTCATTCTGATACCTTCCTTCTGGCCTCTGTGGGCACTGGGCACACAGCTAGTATACATACATACACAGAGACAAAACATCCATACAGATAAAATAAAATAATAAATACATAAAATAAAATACATGCCTGTAGTCCCAGCACTCAGGAGGCTGAAGCAAGAGTGAGTTCAAGACCAGTTTGAGTTATGTAGTGAAATCCTGTGTGGCTCTAGCTACACAGGATTTGCAATAGCCTAACTATTGCAAAACTCTAGCTTTGATCTCCAGCAGGGGTGGGGAGAGGCGGCTGAGAAACACCACCAGGGACCACACCACTCCCAGATGTCTGGCGGCTAGCTTTGGAACCAGGTCTCCAAAATCCTTTTCCTTATTCTTCTGCCTCTCTGGTTTGAGTCTTAAGGGAAAGTTCTTAACTTAGTCCTAGAAGTCGTCTTTGGGATGATCCCTGCTTGCTAAGCCGACCTGGCTTTTCTGGTTCCGATGGGTAACTTGTTACACTTCTGATGCCAACCATCTCCCACAGTCTCCACTGTCCCCCGTTCTGGGAAAGATCTCTTAGGGTCTTCCCTGGGTACACCGAGGCCTTGAGGAGGAGTGATGGGGCAGCCTGGGCCTGGGCCCAAGCAGCAGACCTCCCAAGAACAGGGCGTTTGGGCATGCTTATGGTTTTCTCCAAAGATGACGGGAGGGAGAAGAGGGTGGAATCTAGAAACTTCTCAGGCTTTAAGAATTCCTGCCCTCCCCCTCAGTCTGACCCTGACTATGCCTGTCTGGGCCCTGGCAATGCCCACGGGCAGGACAGCAAGAAAAGGAAGGGAGGCCTGTTTGCTATTTGCTTGGTCTCCCCTCCTCCGCACTTGTCTCCTCTGGCTTCTCACCCCCTTGCTGCCGCCTGTCCCTCTGGGCTTCTGGGGCGCCACCACTACTGTCCCCAACCCGCTTCGCCAGACGGGTCTAAAACACAGCTTGACTCACGGCTCTGCCACCAGCCCACGGCTCCTGCGAAGTTATAAAACCTGCCACTGCGGGAGGAGGCACAGTGCTGCCCTGAGTCGTCCGGCCTGAGCACGCAGACATGACCCGAGCCGCAGCAGAGCGAGGCCAAGGGGCTACAGGCTGGGGGCTGCGTGGCGCCCTGGTGGCCGTAGCGCTGCTGTCTGCGCTGAACGCCGCGGCCACCGTGTTCGTGCTGTGCCAGTGGCGCGGGCTGAGCGCGGCGCTGCGGGCGCTGGAGGCGCAACGCGGCCGGGAGCAGCGCGAGGACGGCGCCCTACGCGCCTTTCTGGCCGAATTGAGCCTTGCGCCGGCCCGGGTCCCCGAATCATCCCAGGACCCCATGAGCGCGGCGCGCAACAAGCGCAGCCACAGCGGCGAGCCTGCATCACACATCCGTGCTGAGAGCCAGGACATGATGATGATGATGACCTACTCCATGGTGCCGGTAGGCAGGGGCTCCTCCCCATGGCGCCCCCGTTAGGCTGGGCAGCGGGAGGTAATGGGAGCTAGGTTACCCTGGCCAGGGGAACCTAAGAGTTAAGCAAGCTGCTTAACTCTTTTGAGATCAATCTTTTCATCTACAGGGACCAGAGCAGGGCAAGTCTTCACTTCTGACATCTTTTGAGTCTGCAGGTAAATGAAGGGCGTGAGCAGCATTAAGAGTCGTTCCCAACTTTTGACAAAAGTTTTCTGGGTGTGAACTGACACCCCCGCGCCCCCCCCCCCCCCAGCAACAGCTCGCTGTGGCAGTCTCTGAAACCAAAGAGGTGACTTTTCTTCAACCAAGGAGTCCTTTGCCTGGCACAATCTAGTGGTTAGTTAGGCTTTCCATCTGGCCTGAGCTCATCCCTGTAAGACTACAACCAAACTTCCCACCTATATGCTGGAAGTTGTTCATGGCTCTCAAGCTGTTCCAAATAGGAGGAATTGATCCCGTGTAACTTTTATTAGCATGCGAATATGCACTGACGAGGCCAAAGCTCTTAATGTGGGGCCTGTGGGTTGCTTCACACGTTCAGAAGAATGGAAAGCCAGAACTGCTGGTGTGTGAGCATTCTCATACAATGCAACATGTGCATCCAGGAAAGTTCCAGCATTAAAATTCTTTATTTTTTCTGTTAAACACCCACCCTTTCCTCCCTTTCCCCCTCCCTCCTTCCCTTCCTTCCTTTCTCCATCCTTCCTTCCTTCCTTCCTTTCTTCCTTTGACAGTTTCATGTAACCTAGGATGGCCTTCAACTAGCTGTGTAGCCAAGGGTGACCTTGGACTTCAGCTCTTCCCCCGCCTTGGTGCCAGGATTACCAGCGTGTCCCACAATACCCCTGGGCCTCTCCACATTCTCTAAGCTATTCTATTGCACATTCCCTTCCTGAGATTTGAGAAACACTACTCTAAAGGAAAGACTTTTAAAGGAAAATCTCCTTTCTTCCAGTTTTCAGGTGTTCCGCTTTGGCTGATTTGCGTCCAGTGGTTCTTTTACAGCTACCTCAGGTCACATCCCCGTGCTCTTTCCAGTTCCCATTCCCCTTCCGTCCGTTCCAATAGCCATGGTCTTATTTCACTTTATAACTAGAACATGTCCAACTGTCCCCCCAAGCCCAGTCCGCCATACTTTGGAATCCTGTATATTTGGAGAGAAGTCTACTTTAAACATTTGCTGCCATTAAAGAAGCTCTCAGAGAGCATGCGTGAGCTCAACGGCTTTTAGGACTTCAAGCACCACACACTGCAAACACCTACTTTGAGAAAGGTCAAGCTTTCCATTTCTGGTTCCACAGTTTTACTCAAGTAAACATCTTAAAAATCAACCCTAAGCAGAAATTTCAGAAACTACAGCTTCTGTAAGATGAAGAGGCTTTGCTAGGGGAATTCTGGGGCACTCTCTTAGCCCTTCACTCAGCATTTTAAGGTTTTTTTTTAAACCTTCCAAGAGTGACAACACTTTATACCTTTAATCCTGCTTTTAAAGTAGATGGTTTGGATCCAAATTGCAACCTATTCAGTCACTAACACAAGAGAATGAGCCCATTCCCAGGTCACTCTGAACACCTGCTGCTGTTACAGATTAGCCCAGAAACTGCAGCTAGCAGCTAGCAGCACCCGCTGATCTCACATCTACAGTGAGTGTGTTGTGACCTTTTTGTGTCACCGAGGGAGATGCAGCAAGAGGAGAATACAGCGATCACAGTGACGAGTGTCGTCTTCATGGAAGTAGTCCAGGTGCCATGCATACTCTAAGAACACCGCAACTCTACCGTGCACAGAAGTGTCCTGGGAATGTTGTGCAGTGCAGGTTTTGATTCATACGGTTTAGGACAGTGCTTCTCAATCCTCCTAGTGCTGCAAACCCTTAATGCAGTTCCTCATGCTGTGGTGACCCCCAACCACAGAATTATTTTGTTGTTACTTCACAACTGTAATTATACTCCTGTTATGAATCGTAATGTAAATATCTGATATGGGGTCCCCTATGGGTGTCATAATCCAGAGGTTAAGAACCGCTGGTCTAAGGTATGAAATTTGCATGGCTAACAAGTATCCAACAATACCAGTGCTGCAGGTTTCAGGGTCACACTTTGAGTAAGGAGGTCCTAGAACCCTAGAGTCATCAGAGAAACCTGAAACCTTATCGGTGCCTGAATCCACCCTAGATATTATTCCAAGTGGACCAGTCTGAAGCGTGGCCTGGGACTGAGAACTCACTTACTGGCAGACAGGAGGTTGAGATATGAGATCCTGAGGATAGTCAGGTATCTGGGTTAAATGCTTCCAGTTCTCACCAGGTCTTGCTTTAAGCAATGGAGCCAATTTCACTGCTGAAATGCCTTTGTTTGTTTGTTTGTTTGTTTGTTTTGCTTTATTGTAGCAATACACTTCTTATCGTCACGAATTTTCTCTTCAAGAAACCAATTTATTAAAAATCAATCTCAAGTAGACTTGTTAAATCTTAGGAAGTCTTAATAATTAAGAGAAGACTCTAGAATAAATCATGGAGGTAGACATGTCTGCCTCTTATGACTAAAGTACCTGTCCACCCCCAGGGCCTTTTTCTATAGTATCAGATCTTGAACTAGTGTAAGATCCGTGGACCATCCCAGGACCTTATGCTCAGACTCTGTGTTGGAGATCTAAGGACAAGAAGCAAGCTCTACACAGATTAATGCCAGTATTTTCAGATAACCTTTCAGAGTGATCTGTTTATCCAAGACGAGCTTCCTTGTGGGTTGACTCTGTGTTTTTGGCTAAAATGAAAAGCATACTGCTCAGCATGAGCATTCTGAGCTGCACACTCCAGTGGTAGCTGTGTAAATGACTTTGCTTTTGTTTGTTCATTTGTTTGTTTGTTTGTCTGTTTGTTTTTTGGGTTTTTTTTGGGGGGGGGGGTTAAATCAGTAATTACCCCTGAAGTACAGGTAATTTGACATAGACAAGCTTATTAAAGATTTTTTAAAGCAAGTGAATGTTTTGTAGGAAAGGTGTTGAGTGGGACAGTAGGCACAGCTTGGGGAGCACTTGCCAAAAAGGGAAGAAGGGATGCGAAGGGAAGGATGAGCATTGACCTACCTCCTCCTATCCTGTAGGGGGCACTGCTGCCTTGTTTCTCTCTCACACACACAACCTTTTGTATCTTCTCTTCCAGCTTCTCTTCCACTTCTTCCTTCTCTCCACGTGCATCCCTCTCCCCCTGCCCCTCCCTCTCCTCCTATCTCTTCTTTCTTTATATCTTACCTTTACTGATACCCTGGTACCTTTGCTCTGTTATCTTTTCTGACCCCAAATCTAGAGCATCCAGAAGAACTTTCATTAAAAACAAAAATCAAAGTAGCATACAAAACCTGCAATTCACCAAGGCTGCTGAATATATCTCCATAGCAATTGTTAGCCGTGGGTACCAAGCACACTCCTACATCTAAAATGTTCAAAAGAATGGAGACTTCTCTATTAAGAAAGCTACTTTTTTTATTTTAAAGTAAATCCAAATAATTTTTTCAAGGAAAATAAGTATAATTAAATAACTTTCTGGTACTACAAAGGGCATTTGATAGAGTTTAAGACCTACACCAGATTGTTAATTTAGAGAGGATTGTACCATGTCATAGACTAGCTTTGAGAACTCCCTCTATCTGCCCGAGTCTCCTAATTACTGAGATTACCATACCTAGCTCTTTGTTTAATTTTCTACATATTTTTTAAAAATTTTATTTCATGTATGTAGGTGTTTTGCCTGCATGCATGTCCTTGTGATGGTTTTGGATCCTCCAGAACTGGAGGTATAGACAGTTGTGAGCCATCATGCTCAAAACTAGGGTTCTCTGGAAGAGAGGCCAGTGGTCTCAACCATCTTATTTTGCTTTGTAGACCAGGGCAGCCTCCACCTCAATTCAAAGATTCACCTGCCTCTGCCTCCCAAGTGCTGGGATTGAAGCCATGTGACACTGTCACCAATTTTCTATAATTTTAAAGGTTTATTTTATGTTATACACTTTACCTGCATGTATGTGTGTATACCACGTGTATGGCTGGGAATCAAAAGAAGGCTTCAGATCACCTGAGAATAGAGTTACAGAAAGTTGTGAGCCACCATCTAGGTGCTGGAAACCCAACCAGGGTCCCACCGAGTGTTCTTAAACACTGACCCATCGCTCTGCTACTTTTTAAAGTATTACATTATAATGCAAATCAATAGATGCTATCTTGACAAGGTAACATATAAATGAGACTCTTACCTTCATAACCAGCTTCTCACTTACTAGCACTCATCCTAAAAGCGCTAGCTACTATCACCATGGCTCAGTTTGTCTTAGGATTAGCCAGAGAAACTAGACAAAGGAAAGTAGTCGAATATGTGTTAAGAAGTGAAGGTCTGGCTCTCATTAGATTATATTATTCTATACCTGGAAACCCCAAGAAAAATTGCTGATAACCTACTGATATAAACAATAACAGAACTCCGTGGGAAGTAAGACATTAAAGTATCATTCCACTCTCTCATTCCCCTGCACACACCCAGTACCTCCCAACCTTACCACTTGCCCTCTTCTGTTTTTCTTTTGTAACACACTGAGTTCAGGAAGCGCTTCCTGCTACAATGTTAACTGATCCCGTTGGCTTGATCTTGTGCAGGTAACTGTAGCTGCAGAGAGATCATGGATACAAAGGACATAGCATGTTCAGAAGGCAGCATTCATAGCTCTACTTAGCATAGGTCTCAAACTGGGAACAAATGGCTGAGGCTTCTATTAAACGTATCAAAGCATATTCTGGCTGCAGGGTTCTTCCAGCCTGCAGAGAGGTTCCTCCCCGTTACAGAGCCCCTTACTCAGTACTCTCCAGCACGGAGGCTGGGCTGCCCTTCCTTCAGCTGCTCTTCCCTATATAATCCAGCCATTTTGTATGAGTGTTTTGCCCACCTGTATGTCTGTTCGCCACGCATGTGCCTGGGA